CACGTGACCCGCGCACGCGCCGGGGGCGGAGCAGTTGCCGGCCCGCCCCGAGTGCGCGTGCGCGGCGGTTGCCGTGGCGACCAGGAAAGCGTTGGGCAGCCGACTACGCTGGGCGCCAAGAGGCCAGCGGAGAAGAAAGCGGGGCCTCTCTGGTGGGGTTGGGGGCTGAAACGGCCCCGCGGAGCGGGTGTCCACTGCTGCGGGGTGTTCGGGGTTACAGGAGTAGACATGCACCCCGAGGCCTCGGAGCCTGCGGCGGACGGGGCAGCGGAGCTGGACTGCGTGCAGCAGCCCGTGGAGGCGTCCGCAGGTGACCACGGGAACGCGGGCCAAGGCGGCCCTAGGCAAGGTGCCTACCGCCGCCCCGGGGAGGGCAGGAGGGCGAGGGGTCGACCCGGCTAGGCGCTGCAGCCCCGTCCCAACACCACATACCCGGTCCTCACAGCCAAAAATAGCACTAATAATAACAATAGCAACCAACATTTATTAAACGATATATGCCGAGCACGTACCTCATTTGAGCCACATCCCAGCCCTCTGCAGTAGGCGCCCCTGTCCCCATTTCATGCAGATGAGGAAACTTAAAAGAGGTTATAAAACTTGCTACAACTATTACCCTTACTAGTCAATGATAGAACAGAGACTCAGGTCTGGACAGTCTGACTCCGGAGCCCAAGTCCTGTCCAACACACCATCCTTCCATTTCCCAACTTCTTTGTTTTGAATGTATCCTTCTGTTGCTATCACCATGTAAGACAAAGGCTTTTTCTTCCCCTCTAAACTTCAAGCTATACAGGGCAAGGCATCCTGCTTGAATTCCAATTGTCTAGCCAGTGCCTGACATATGATAGAGACTGAATGAAGAGCTGGTGGTTCTGGGGTCAGTGTGTGACGTCCCACCCCCAAAGTTTCCAGGAATAGTCTTGAAAGATAGGCTTCTCCCTCTGTTCCCACTAGGCTTGGGGCCACAAGGGAGATCTTTCAATGACTGAAGAAACCAATCGATTTGTGTTTCAGTTTTTGAACCCATTCAACAAATATATCTTCAGCATCAACTGTCCGGGCAAACCCTGTAAGGAATTGGTATCGCTCAGTGGAAAGACACAGGGTTTGGAGACACTCGGGTTGGGTTCAGATTGCAGCTGTGCAGCTCTCCAGCTTTGTGGCTGTTGGCCCAGAGCTCAGCCTCTCTGAGCCTTAGTCTCCTCATCTGTAAGCAGTGATAATTATACAGGGATATACAGAGATAATTGTAATTATAGTTTCTGGTATATCGTGGGCCATTAATAAACGGTAGCTCTTGTTATTAGCATAATCAATTATATATATTGAGCACCTATTCTTTATTTATTTCACAAACATAAATCTGGTGACTCTGTGGCTGGGCATTGTATGCAGTGGAACATTGATGAGTGTAAGTCACAGTTCCCAACCTCAGAGATTTAGTCTTATTCAACAGAGCTCACGAACACAGAGAGCAGCAGCCAACAGCCCTTAAAATTAAGTTCGTTTGAATTGGCTAGTTGTGAGTGACCTTTAAAAAAATTAAGTGCATTTGAATGTGCTCATTTTCTTTTTACCAAAGATGTTCCCACCTTTTTTGTTTCTTTTCATGTGTTTTCTCCTTTGAGAAATGTTTTAAACAGAAAAGAACAGAGAACATAATAACAAACACCCATGTATTGCCACCAAGAACTGAAAGTGATTAACATTTTATCATATTTACTTGAATTCTTTTTTTAATTAAAGCAATAAAACGTTCCACATAAAATAGATGTTCCTTTAGTCCCGCACCCCCGCCATTCCTGATCCCATTTCTTTCCTTCCTTATCCAAAATATTTTATGGATTCTTTCAATCATTTCTCTCTCTCATTGTGCCCTTAAACAATGCATAGCATTGGTTTGTATGTTTTTAATTTATTCTATAAATGGTGTCCTATGTTTATTATGAAACTTGCTTTCTTTTCTACTTCAAATATTTTCTGAGAATAATCCATATTGATTGATGCAATGCTCTAGTACATTCTTTTCAAAGGCAGAAGAGTAATCCGTTGGTTTATTTAACCTGTTTCTATGCATGAACATTTGCATTGTTAACAGTTTGGGGCTGTTACAAACAATGCAGAGACTAATATCTTTGAACACATTTTCTTGTGCACCTGTACAAGAGTTTTTATAGAGGATCCACTTTAAAAAATGAGATTTACATAGTCATTGCCAATACTTTAAATATTGTTATACATTTAAGAGTACTGGTGTTCCATACTAACAGTGGACAGTTACTAATCACATTGAAATTGGGAGAATTCTTTTTGTACATTTCTTGATTTCTTCAGACCTGATCTCTTTTATTTTACAGAAATTGATGATTCTAAGGAAATATGTGTGGGTCCTTCTGACACATCCTTCCAAAATCAGCAGAAACAGAGTGGTAATAGTGGGTCAGACAGTCACTTCGCCCACCCAAGAGATGATGGGAAAGATCAGGGGCTCAGGTATGTGGGCATGCTGCCAAATAGTGCACAATTATGGAGCAAGTAGATGGTGTTATCACCCCCTTGTACAGATAGGGAAACTGAGGCTTGTGGAGATTGAATAGCCTGCCCAGTGTCTGAGGATTGTTAAGTATGGAGTCAGGATGGCGCTTCCTCTGTGGCACTACTAACCACACTCTATTAAACTTTAATGCCAGCCCTGGAAAGGGAAACATCAGTATTCTTGATGACACTATTAAAAGTATTTTTATTAGTACATACACTGCAATTTTTAACAATGCTGAAAGTAAGAATATTGGATAAGGCTATACAAAAAGAAGAAGGATTTTAAATAGGCGTAAGGTATATAAGGTGTAGAATTGGGGGCAGGAATGGATGTGGTAAAGAACTTTGGGAATGCTCATATACTTGACAGCTGACAAGTTGAGACAAATTTCTTGTTCATGTTTTCCATTTTAACAGAATGACTAAAAGTTTCCTGCAAAAACTCTGCAAGCAGCACAAGCTTTATATTACCCCTTCATTGAATGATACGCTGTACTTACACTTCAAAGGTGAGGACCCTAGTAAAGGAGATGGCTCATGTCAGGGGGAAAGATTCTCTCTAGAGGTATAAAAAATTATTTGCGGGGATCATATTTAGTTCTCAGATTATATTTAAGTAGAAATTCCAGAGTTTAGTGAAGATTTATAATTTTTAAAAAAAAGCAATACAATTTCTTCAAGAAAATCTCTCAGCTGACTAGAGTTCATGAAGGGGACACTAGGTATGTAAATACAAAGGAACACACTGGTATCCTTTATTTATGGTTTTGTAAGGACTTATAATTTTTCAAACCAGAAAGTTAGTTCTTAAGTACTTTGGGCTGGGAAGGGATATTAGTGAAGGATTGAAGACTGGTGTGGAAAACAAAGGCTGGGCATCGCTGGGTGCCTCTCAGAATGGAGAGGTACAAACAGCAGCATCCCCGAGAGCTCAGGGTAGGTGTCCAGTAATCACGTACAAATTTAAGTTCAGGTTCGTGGACAGGGCTGCACCAAGCAGTGACTGAGTGGGGGGTGTCCTCCTGCTTTTTCAGTCATTCTGCTTGTCCGGCACTGTGCTCAGTGCCAGAAATGCAGACGTGGAGACAGCACAGATACCTTTGGCATCCCGGGGCAGGGGCACCACTGTGATGAAGGTGCAGACAGGGAGGTGCACAAAAGGCTCCAGCAGCACGAACACCTTCAGGGTTTGGAACGCCCCCTTAGTGGTGTCCTCACCTCCACTCTTTCCCCCTTCACAATTCTCCACCCAGCATCTAAGTGTAGCAGTGAATAAGGTGACTTAGGAGGACAGCTCCTGGGGGACTGATACTTAAGAGGTTAAGTTAGATTAAGTAGAAAGAGTCAGAGAGGTGGAAGAGGGCCAGTAATCCAGGAGCTATTAGCTGGGAGGATCTGGCTTAGGGTCTCTCATGAGGTGGTTGTCAGACTGTCAGCCCGACCTCAGTCACCTGAAGGCTCAACCGGGGCTGGAGAATCCACTTCCAGGCTTAGCCTCAGGTCCTCAAGGGCTGCCAGCCTGAGGCCTTGGTCCTTCACCACGTGAGCCTCTCCATGGCAGCTGGCTCACCCCCAAGCAAGTTACCCAAGAAAGAGCGAGGCCAAGACTGAAGCCACAGTCTTGGAGATGATACATCACCTCTTCTCCCTATTCTTTTGGTCTCAAGATCAACCCCTGAGGTGGGGTGAGAGGTTGAGGAGCCAAGAGAGAAAATGCAGAATTTCAGGACCTCGAGGGGACAAATGACCCAGCCTCTTCAACAGAAAACTGCAGTAGGAGAAAGAGACAGACCGTAGGTTACAAGTGACTGAAGAGACGTCAGCTCATGACAATGTTAGGACCTTATTTATGTGCTGATTCAGACAATAAACAGTTTGGAAAAAAGACAAGGGAGAAATGTGAACAATGACTGGCTATTTGATGATAGTGAGGAATTATTGTAGTTTAGTTGTCACAATTTATTGTCGTTATCTTTATGGCAAAAAAAAAAAAGTCCCTGTCTTTTAGAAATACTGACTTCAGTATGAAGACCTTGAAGCAACATGG